TGTTATGCTAATTCCTAAACGCGCCCACTCAATGAATACACGCCGGCATCAGATAACGCCAGACTTGTATACAGTCTCTTGTTTATTTGGTGGTGTGGAAGTGTATAAATGGCGAAAGCCGGTTTACCTCGAAATAAAGAAGATGGTGTTATGATTGGATGAAGTTGATGCTCCCACATTGCATCATGGTTACTAAAAGAATGATTACATGTAACGAACAGACAATAGATTGCACCGGCTTGGACTGGCGCCACTGGTAAACAATAAGGCACGTCAGACAGCGCCCCTGTGCGGTGACGAACGAGACTATCAGATCATTTAAAACGAGACTTGCCCAACCGCAAAATTAACGCGTCTCGCCATCGAGAATTCAAATGACTCTTTCGATTAGGTTTTAATAAAACGAGAAACATTTTTTGTTTTCTCGACGGGACTGTACTATTTAAAAGGATATCTTCGTTACACCCGATGTTGGAGACCGTGTCAATACCCCCCACCCCCGGGGGGGGGGCTACTTCCACATTAAATGGGTAAGGGTGTGAAGCCCACCTCTCGTAAACCATACTCACTTCTAAACCATTTTTTTTCTATTTTTATACCCACTTCTAAACAAAAGTGTTTTTAGCGAAAAAAACACCCAGCTCACAACTTTCGCAACCAGTGAGCGCATCCGGCCGATGCAATTTATTCAGCCTTTTCCGGTATTTGGCCTTGAATATAAGGACCTGTGAAAAATGGAATAAATGCTACACACTTCTAAACCAAACCATTGATAAATGACCACCCACTTCTAAACAAAATAACGTGAAATGACACCCCAGTCGGGCGGCACATACCCGTATTGCACTTCTATGCAAGTAGCCACCCCTCCGGGGGTCAATACCCACGAGATCATAGTCTTGCCAGAGTTTTCGCTGATACTTCTTCTTCATCGATACTGCTTGGCTATTCATGGGATTACAAGACGGGCTGCCGTGTATTTAGGTTTTAGTATTTCTATGTTCATAAACTCGTGTTTTCCCTATGTCTGATGGGTCTTATTGTTTACGATATATACATATAATGTGATTATAACGAGCTCAGTCAGTGAAAACTCCAATTATAGACCCGACGTCATATAATATATATACTATGTACTATTTATTTCAGACAAATAAGTCCATATCCACACACACACACACAAAATAATAATAATAATAATAATAATAATAATAATAATAATAATAATAATAATAATAATAATAATAATAATAATAATAATAATAATAATAATAATAATAATAATAATAATAATAATAATAATAATAGTAAATAAATACTAGAAAGAACAAGAAACATAAACAGGAAATGATAGTTCGTACGTATCCAAAGTTAAAACCATTTTTTTTTTTTAATTTCGCTGTACCATGTTTTTTTTCCACTTACAAATCCATATTGATTATTTTTTGTTGGCGTTTTGGACTGTACGCACCGAAGCAGTTCATCTACATTGTTGTGAAGATAAGGGGTTCGGTCTCAATCACTATACTAGTACCATGAATTGCAGACAAATTCATCTACATTGTTGTGAAGATAAGGGGTTCGGTCTCAAT